AAGCTGTTGTGTATGTGTGCATTTTTTCCCCCTGTTTACCTTGTTTACTGACTGCTTGTGCTGTAGAGCAACACACACGGTTAATTCACTTATAGCTCAGCACTGTGGAAGGGAACATTAAAACAGGAAAATCCCTTTAGCACACAGGTCTAACTGCATTATCTGCAAAACACCAGCTGATGTCCACACACTGAGCCCGGTTATTTCTTCCTTCTTAATGCTTTGCTGTTTTTCTGACTCAATCTCACATGGATAAAGGAACAGTTAGTCTCAAGTCAAGGGAGTGTTGTTTTGAAAAGGAATTCCCTTAGCTGGTAAGTTTCACGACCCAAATAGTCATGTTTGAGTGGATGTTTCTATGACAACTGTTTATTTTCCATGGGTTCTGTTTTATGTTTCACAATAAAGGATTTGAAATTTTCAGCAAAAAATTTAAATTGCGATGTTGACCAAATTTGTGTAGTTTTTTCCCGACCACTTTATTTTCTTTTTTAATACATACACAATGCAAAATGTTGGGCTCAGGTCAGGTTTTGGCCTTGCGTTTTTTTAAAGCTGTTTAAAGCTGGTGCGGAGAGACACGGCCAAAGAGCAGAGAAGCATCAGAGAGGCAGAAAAAGCTCTGGTCTGCCTTATTTAGTTATTTTTTTTGTTAGGGAGCAGATGAGACATGAACACTAGTGGGCAAAAATAAAAACATAAACCTAGCCTTTTCAGCAAACCTAGCTTGAATCATTCTTGAATTCCTTGAACTAGATGTTAAATTTTTTTGTGATTATTACATTTCCACAACATGCTGATATTATTATTATCAATAAACTTGTTTTAGTATTTTAAACACTGTACTGCTATCCCTTTTTTTCTACATGTTTTTAGAAATTCCATTTAATGTCAAGATTTCAAATAGATTGAATGCAGACTGTCAAAGCAACTTGTCATTCTACTTATAAAAGTTTATTGGGATTTAAAAAGCACCAGGTTCGTGAACTTCTGATGCTGCTTTAGCAACAGCCCTGACTTGGTGCGTAGCAATAGCTCATGTTTACCCTGCCATAATCATACGATATCCTGTCCATCAATTAGTTTTGCCATTGCAAAACAAAGCTGATTACCTAGCACAGCTAGAAAAACTAAAAAGCACTTTTTGTTTTAGGGTTGTCAAAAGTATCGATACTCAAAAAAGTATCGATACTGAAATGTTGTATCCGGATACAATACTCATTTTCAAAAGTATCGAGTACCAGTCGCACCTAAACAGTCATTCATCTAAAGTGCAGAATAGAGGAAAATGCACTTTCTGAACACTGTGTGATCGAATAATTCTACGCACTTTTCAGTTTCAGACTTTTTTTGTAACAGTTGCAGCTGCTGAGAATTATTTTTGTTTCTTAAACGGTTTGGCTAGTGTCATTGTTATGTGTGCAAAGCATGGCCAAGTAAGGAAAACTTAATTTTAATTTTGTACGTTTTTTATCAAGCTTGCTAAATACTGTGCACAGCAAACAACCTCAAAATGTTGTTCTTATTGTTTATTGTATTTATTTATTGTATTTTAATTATTAATCAAAATATTTCTGTTGAAATTTTATCCTTGTGGTATCGAAAATGGTATCGAGTATCGAATATTTTCCTTAGTATCGGTATCGAGTTGACAGGTTTAGTATCGTGACAACCCTATTTTGTTTACAAAATGCTACTGATATGACAGAGAGTTTGAAAAATGATTAAAGCCAGCAATTTTGCAGTTCTTGCTTTTCAATAACAGCTTCCACTGCACAGAAAATTCCTTCTACTACGACCTGGTAGCTCTCAGTTAAGGTGCTGCCACTATGAAGAAAAAATGTGATTCTTAAATTTCCATCCAGCTGGTCTGCAGCTGGAAACTAAAAACAGTCCAGTTCTGCACATTAGCCATCATCCCCTCTAGTATAACCATTTAAAAAATGTATCTTTGTTTTAAAAGCACTTGGTTACGATTTTGTGATATGATGGCAATGATGGTTTAAGGTATGGTGATGTAGTGGCCTGTGGATTGGTTTTATGTATTAGTTTTAAAGGAATATAAGCCTCTTGTGGCCTGTAGATTGCCTTTTTGTTTTCTTAGGCGAAAGAGGGTTGTTGCTGCTGTGGGTAATCGTCTATTATAAATCTTTAAAGAGGTTAGAAGTCCCTTGAATATGCCTGTGTCCGCTCGTGAAGTAAAGGCAATCTTCTTTAGAGACCTTTAAATGTGTGATTCTTTTATAGCTATTGCATTGCTGTTCTTTTTTCTCTTTTTTTTACCATTGGTGAAGATGATGATCTCAGATGCTGAGTTCTTTATTTTTGCTGTTTTAGTAGAGCATAAAATCAGTAGAGATTCATAACAAGATGTGCACCATTCGAGTCTCATCCTGTCCCTGCAGAAGGTTTGAAAGCTGTCTGGGTGTATTTGTATGTTTTTCTAATGTGTTTGGTTTGTTTTTAGGGCATTTCTGTGATAGTATCTCACTTTTATGGGCTGTTTTAGAAGCACAGCATCCTCTGCTCTACATCTGCGCACTTCTATATGCAGCCTTTTTTTTTTTAGAAGCAACAACACCGCCTCTGTGGATGCACGCCGGATATTAGCTACCCCCCTGAGCGATCTTCCAGCCCCATTTTTAGCCCGCCTTTCCCTCAATAACTTGTTCATCCAGAGCCCCCTACAGATAGTCTCCTGATTTGTTTTCAACTCTGTTACTCTCACTGCATTCAAAGTGAAACACAGAAATCAAGCCCTGCTGTCAGCTCCTCATTTGCTACTTTATACATTCATTTAAGACAAATTCCTCTGTAGGCATACTATTTATTAGCAACGGTTGCTTTACGGTGTAATAAATTAATTGCATAACAAAGATGACTTTGGACAGAGGTTTTACAGTGCCTCAACCTTGATGCACAAAGAAGTGATTACAAGTGTTTCAGGTTTACAGGAGCAAGCATTTCATGTTAACCACGTAATTAGATTTCCTTTAATATGTTTAACTTGAACCTGTTCCATCATTTGAAACAAAAATGTTGAAGCTTTCCCTTTCAAAAACCCTGTTCTTCCTCTGAAAAAGCAAAGAGGCCCAGCTCCAGTGTTGTGTCCAAAGGGCTGCAGTACCCCTGGTCTCCCTTTGCTCTCTCCACCGGCTGGACCAGCAGAGTCAGAGTGTGATTGGCTCTGTGCTTCAGACTGTGTGATTCTCTGCAGCAGGGTAATGTCACCCTGGTTCACCATCACAGCTCATTCTGTACTTTTATTCTCCTCTGAGCCTTTAAACGGTTCATTAGTCTTTAACAAGACTGCAGAGCCCACTCCAAACTCTGCTTTAACCCCTCTGTGCCTGGCTCACCCTCGGACTTCGCCAGTACATGCTTCGGTTCCCTTTCTGTGCTCAGAAGTGATTTTTGCAGTTTTAGTTTCAGTGTTCGAATCAAATGAGCTAAAGGTATTTGAGATTCTGATCACTGCAAACTGTGTCCAACAGCAGCAGGATCTGTAGTGTGGGGGCTGCTTTGGAGCGAAGTCGTTCTCATGGACGCTCTTGCTGAATAGAGGACATTGATGCTTTTCTATCCTGCTACGCCCTGGCTAGCTTTCCTTCTTTCCCTGGGCTGTCATTCCCTGAATGAGCCTTTCAGGAATCCAGGGTTGCAGGGTGGGATACAAAACATCTCTCTGCTCATTAAAGGCCGACAGGTCCCTGGGTACTTTTAAACCCATTTTCAGAAATTACAGAATTGGCTCATCCTGTAACTACGACATTTTGCAGAGTTTTCTTTTTTGATGCACGACAAGTGGAAGCAACTCTCTAATCTTGTATGTTAATGCTGCCTTTGTTTCCCACATTTAATGGCTTCATAATGTCGACATGTAAATGAATCAAATGTAAAACAAAGAAATTAAACGGTAATACACATCGCTATTAAAAGCATTTGTGAATTAAATGGAAATGAGGTTGTCCCCGTTAAGAGTGTAATGGAACCAAGTGCTTCCTTTGTAGCAATAGCTAAACTGAGGCCTGTCTTTATTTATTTTCACTTCAATCTCATTACATTTGACTTTTTGATTACTTTGCCTTTTATTTTTTAATATTTGAATTACCAGGGTTTGATTTTACTTTATCATTTATCACTGAAGTTGGCTGCTGCATATATTTTGCAACAGATGTGAACATTTATTGTTCCACAATAAACACGTTTTGTTTGTTTTTTCTTTTTCTTTTAGTTTTTACGGCACTAGTGTTTTTTCATTTTGATAGTAGCCTGACAGGAAAGGGGATATATGAGAGGGGGAGAGACATGCGGTAAAGGACTACAGGTCGGATTCGACCCGGGTCGGCCGCATCGAAGACTCCGTACATTGGGTCATGCGCGCTAACCACTGCTCCACCTGCACACCCAACAGTAGACAAATTCTGAACACATTTTGAATAATTTATTTTCTTAAATAAAAGAAAAGCACAAACAAAATCATTGTAATTGCGGCTGACCAGGATTTATTAGCCTGTTTTTAATCTCTGGTATCAGCTACTGATTTTATGCAACTCCAATCTGTTATCTGTTTAAGGACTTTATATTAAGATAAAGTAAGAATAGCATTAAAAAAATCTTTTTATGAACCTTGACAAATGGTTTGACAATGTTTTGTGTTTACATCGTGAGTAGGGGTTAAAAGCTCCATAGGATGGGGTGGGAGAACTTTTCCTAACTAAACTCCTGTTATCTGTGAGCCTTGCTTTGGCTCGATCACCTGCAGCCTTCATACCTTGCAGACTCCATGCATTAGAAAGTACAGCTTTCTTCTATATGGCTCACATGTCACTGTGCTTCTCATATCTTTTGTTTTTAAACTCTTTATAAATGCAAACAGCGGTTATCTTTGATGCGCCTGTACTCTGTTACAGCATTCACACTGAAGAGGGAAAAATATTTCAGTTTGTGATCTTTGGAGGTCAGCATTAAGACTTTACTGATTCCTTTTCCCGTTTCAGGGGGTGCCTCAGCTTCCTTGTGCCAAAGCACTGTATAACTATGACGGCAAGGAACCAGGAGACCTCAAATTCAGCAAGGGCGACATCATCATCCTGCGCCGGCAAGTGGATGAGAACTGGTACCACGGGGAGATGGGTGGAGTCCATGGCTTTTTCCCCACTAACTTCGTCCAGGTCATCAAGCCTCTGCCGCAGCCGCCGCCTCAGTGCAAAGCTCTCTACGACTTTGAGCTGAAAGACAAGGAAGCCGACAAGGACTGCCTGCCCTTCTCGAAGGTGAGGCGCTGCAGACGTTCAGCAACCTCTCTCCTGCCACATAGTCAGCACCGTAAAACAAAAATACCTCTCATTACAGTGACGCTTCTGTCTTGCAAGCCCTCATTTGGTGGAGTTATGTGTGTGTTAGAATGTCAGGCTTTTTAAATGAAACACCCAAGCAACAGTTTGGGTTTTAAGTCGAGGCTCTAGATAAGCAGCTATAATTAGGCAGCAGAGAATTATTGCCATATAGAACGAGGCATCGCTTAACTACAGTAATTAAGCTGCTTTGTTTATCCAGCTGTCGGGTCATACATTGATTGTTTTGGATTATGTCATCAATGTATACGCCACATAAGCAAAAGCAGAAACAACCTTTGCAAGTAGCTCATCTGACAGGCTGTTTTTAGTCCCAGGTGTTTTATTTCATAAACCTCAAAACTCCTCTTCTCATTATTTCTGTTCCAAAGTTTATTCCCTGATGTTGAGCAACACTCCGAGTTAGATACGAACCCTTATTTACATTTTTCCTCATGCTTTCCCCCTCCCTGTTGTGTTATTCTAGGATGATATTCTGACTGTGATCCGCAGAGTTGATGAAAACTGGGCCGAGGGAATGCTGGGAGATAAAATTGGAATTTTCCCCATCTCATACGTGGAGGTAAGGGAGTAACTTGATTCTTGAAATGAAACGGTTCTTCAGGCCTCAGCAACATGTCTGGATACTTCCAGGATCATATGATTGTGTCCTGGGTTTATTTTGCTCTATATTTACTTCTTAATATTTAGATATTAGAATTATTTACCTTTTTTTGGATCCTTTCTTTCCTGTCCTAAAAAGAAACACCCTGGGTCCATTCTTTTCTTTATAAATGGGTTTATTAGGAATCACAAAAAAGTAAAAATCTTAGGTTTAATATCGTTTGCATCCACATTACTCCTCAAACCTTTTTGTTTTTCCAGTTGAATCTTAAGAAATCCGACTCCTGATAAAACCAAAAAACCTCAAAGTGACCTCCTTCTGATAGATCCTATCTACTGAAGGCATCAAACCACATTCCTTGCACTAGACTAGAAGTAGAAAATTGACAAATTATTTTAAATCACCAGTTTTCTAACATCCCAAACAACTTTAAAGACACAAAATGCTTATGGGGTTGAACAGGCCAGCACTGATATTTGTCATTTATTCAGGAGGAATAAACTCAAGCGTAGCAGGATATTTACAAATATATTTTATCCCAGATTGGGTTAATCAGATCATTTATTTCCTCTATCTTGTAAAATATGGTATGAGAATAATTTTCAGATGCTTCATTTTCATTTTAAACAATATTGTTTATAGTGAAGGGTCAGAATTGAGTGTTTTTACTGTTTAAGCAATAAGTTTAAAGAACGAATAATGCGTTTCCTTGCCTCATGGAGTTTTTGTACACAGTCCTCTGAAGTTGATGTCTGGTAAATGTGCAGTAAGAGTGAAGGGCATTCATCCGGTGTTTTACTCCTGGATGTCTCCCCTAATGTCCTGACATTTCAGTGATTAACCCACACAGACTTTCCACTAGACTGCAGTGAAACACTTGGCTTTAAGTAAAAAGAGCTGCTTGGGGCAAGAGAAAATGGCAAGTTGAAGCACCCTGTGATTAACTGAAACTGCTGCTTTGATTTTTACCTTCGTCAGTCAGTCTCGCATTTCTCTGGTCCTAAAGAGATGAAAACCTGCAGTTTTATAGCTGGCTGAGACCAATGAGCTTCCTACAGAAAAAATTACCAATTTTATCAACTTGTCTCTGTTCTTCTAAACTTTTTTTGCTATCCCTGCACCTTGGAGGCAGATTTTTAGAATAGTTGTTCCCTGTTAATGATTCTCTCTCTGTTGCCCCCCCTCCCGTCGTGTTTTCTTGTAGTTCAACTCTGCAGCACGCCAGCTTATAGAGTTGGACAAGCCATCCGATTCCAGTGGAGACTCCATTGAAGGGGCCTCCCAGGGGCCCCAGAGCAATGGCGCCCAGCGGCCAGGAGAGAAGAAGAACACTAAGAAACGGCATTCCTTCACTTCTCTCACCATGTCCCACAAACCCATGCTAGCTCCTCCCCCCCAGCGCCACTCCATGGAGATTAGCGGGCCGGTCCTCATCAGCTCCAGTAACCCCACCGCAGCGGCTCGGATTGGAGAGATCAGTGGCGGGCTTTCCTGCAGCGCACCTTCACAGGTATGATTGTCCACGACGATTAGCTTCAGTCTGTGTTTTCTGCAAGTCAAGCAGCTCTGTCTAACAAGTTCTATTAGGGCCAACATTTTAGATCCAGCATCAACACTTGGAGAGGAGCTGAAACCTAAAATAAGGAACTATTTTCATAAACTACTCACTTAATCAGACCTTTAGCATATGGCTGGCAAAGTCAGAGAAGGGCTGCAACTAACAATTATTTTGCAAATTAATTAATCTGTTAATGATTTTTTTCAGTTAATCAATCCATTATCAGATAGCAAAAGGTTCCTTAATGAAAAGCTTTTACTAAATTAAACAAGGTGTAACTAAAACTTTGTCGCTGTTTTCATTGGAAATATACAGAGAAATGGCATAACCAATTATAACTTCTATAAGTTTGTTCAGTGGCAATTTTTTATTCTTTAACTGCTAAAAGTTTGGGAATCCTTCTCTGTAGGTGATGATGAATGGACACAATTTGTGGGTGTCAGATAGATGTGGATAGAGTTCCCAGAAAATCTACTGAAGTAAAGTTAGCACTAGTGCTGGGCGATATGGAAAAAATCATATCACGATATAGACTATTTTATATCGCAATAACGATATATATCACAAAATGCCCCAATTAAGTACGTTTTCAGCAAATCTGTGGGTTTTATTTTTGCAACTTCCTCCCGCTGTTTCACAACTTGCTTTACCTCGCACTTTTTGAAACCTTATGTATTCATTTTCATGGTTCTTCTTTAGGTGATAGAAGTTTGTTGTGTTACCGTCGGGTGAGGGAACAGTCTTGTAACATAGTTTGCAAATGACCGTTGTCTTCTCCATGTCGGACTTCTTAAATCCAAAATGTAACCATATCACAGAAGTGCCTCTTTTTGGTAACAGTGCTTCATCTTGGATTGCCTGCGTAGTTGTCTCTGTTTGTTGCGACCACGGGTTTAATACTTCAGCCTGCTGCGTCTCCATCTCTCATGAGTTAAGTAACGTAAAGCATGTCGCAAACCCGCGACATGTGAGTTAAAAGCAGTAAAGAAGCGTCATGTTGCAAAACCACACGATGGCGCTTCTTGGTTGATTAAAAAAAAAGGTCTTGCTTATCACTTATAATCTATAGCGGCTACGTCGCTATAGACACTTTTCTATTGTCCGTACGATATGTATCGTCATATCGCCCAGGCCTAGGTAGCACTACTTCATCGTATTTTAACTTGAGTTTATTTAATTAATTAATTAATTACCGAAGTAAAAGTAAAAACGTATTTTGTGAAAAAAATGCTGCTCAAGTACTGAATAACTTTATATGTTTTAGAAAATAATGTAAATTTACATAAACTATAAGTTTACCTGCAAAATTATGAAGCTGAGATAAAAAAAAAAAAAAAAATATATATATATATATATATTAGGGATGGGACGATTTATGAAAACCATCGAATCGTTCGGTTCGACTGTCTCTGTTCGGTTCGCGTGTGTTGCGTTCGGTTCATGCGCTGCTCCTTTTTCTCATAGGCGAAGCGATTACACTCCAGAGCAGAAGGTGGCGGTACTGCGACCAAAGCCAACCACCAGTAGTAAACAAGAAGAAGAAGAAGCGAAGCAGCCTTGCCGGGTGTAGCAGGGGAAACTAATCAGTTTAGTGGAGAATTGTGTCGGACTGGTGAGTGGGAAAGAACAGGAGTTGGAAGACGCGCCAGCAGCACTTTATAGGTCTGCTGTATGGGAGCGCTTTGCATTTAGAGTGACCTACAATGACGGCGGAAAGAAAGTTGTGGATAAAAGTGCATCAGTGTGCAAGCATTGTGCAACACGTTTTGTTTATGCTAACAGCAACATGTCATGCTAACCCCGAAATCCCTCATACTCCGTCAGCAACCCCCACTCCGCCCCGCTGCGCTCCAGACCGGCTGCTCAAAGCAAAGCCTACAGCCTCCACTGTGGCTTCGTCTGCTCCCCTCTGAGTTCCTTGGAGATGTTAAAGAGCATGCTCCAGATGATTAAATTCAAAGCAGCAAAACATACGGAAATGATCCAGGGTTTCTGCGGATCATTTAAAATAATTACAATCCATTATTTTTTGGGGGATTTTTTTCATTAATTTCATAAATTTTTATGGGATTTCGGTGTAACAATCAACATGTATCGAATCGAACCGAAAACCGTGACCAGAAACCGTGAATCGAACCGAACCGTGGATTTTGTGAACCGTTCCACCCCTAATATATATATATATATATATAAATATATAAATAACATTCTTAAACAATGTTTTCCAATAAAAGTTTAGCTTTAAGTTAACATGTTTGAGCTCCAAGTGACACAGCAGGATAAAAAATAACATTAAAACAAAGAAGCTGGAGTAAAAAAAGTCTCACTAAGACATTAACTGTTTATTTCTGGTTAAAGCCTTTTCTTCATTGAGTAAAAGTTACTCATGATGGGTGGAGTAGCCAGACTTTTTAGTAAGAGTAGTGATACCTCATCATATTTTTAATGAAGTAAAAGGAAATAGTAAAATGCAAAAAAATGACTCGTTAAAGTAAATGTTTCTCAGAAATGTACTTAATTAAATTTAACTGAGTAATTGTAACTAGTTAGGACCCACCTCTGGTGTCGGATAATGAGCTGACAGAGCAGACGCTTTCTGATCATAAATGTTGGGTTTGGTTTGTTTTATTTGGGTATTTAACTTTAATGTGTCTTTAACAGTTTTTTATGGTGTGTTGTAAAAGCCAAATTTATCTGATGAAAATAAAATACAACCGATTTTTTATTTCAGTAACTAAATATCTAGTCTATGGAATTAATGTACTTATCAGTTGTTTGGGTTAGATCTCTGACATAAAAAAATTTCTGCTCTTTAGATTTTATTTTTGCTTTCACACTAGATTTGATAGTAAAGCCAATTATTTTTACTTTATTCAATGTTTTGTTTGTCTCCTTTTCTTGACATATTTATTGTTCTTCTTCAGCTTCAGAGAGTGAGATGCTTTTTTCTTCCTGGGTTTCAGTCCCAAGTTATTTTGCAGAAATGGGGCTTTATTTCAAAACATTTTAAACGCACAGATGTTCTTATAGCTTTTTTAAGCCCCTCCTCTGGTTTGGACCCATTCTCTGAACCACTTCAGTAAATTCCACCAACATGGCCATTATATAGGATTCTACACACAATCATTTCTGCATTAGTCCACCTAACTCTTGTTTTTTTCCCCAAAGCACCATCCCCCTGTGAACAATTATGCACACTTCCCTTTTTTCCCTCTCATACCAAAAAAAAAAACTATTATTGCATGTAAGCGTTTAAAGTCGTTGCTTTTTGACTTGACTCATCCTTCGAAATGACTCCACCTTACCCCCTCAAGGAAGTTTGGTCTTATTTCAATGCTTGAAGGTCAGAAAAACAGACGTGGTTAGAAACAGAACAATTACCATCTTAAGGCTTTAAACTGAATCAGCAGCTGAGAATAAAGAGCCTGAGAAGCTGGGATGAAAAAGCCTCCTTTTATTATGTGGTTTCAGCAGACATGAATTTATCATTTGTTTTTCCAGACAGAGCCTCATTGGTGTTCTCATTCCTCTTACAGCATTATTTATGTTCAACAATGAGTGGCCTTGAAAGAGAACAGAGTTTTGGTTTGTGAATAATATGAAACACTTTAAGGACCACATTTTTAGACGTCCCCATCTTGCTGAGCTGATGTCCTACTTCCGTCGCCTCTGAGCTGTCATGCAGCTTGCCTTTTGTTCATAACTTCTGTGTTTTTGTGTATTTTTATCTTGAACATATTCCCTTTCTCCAAATGTGTGTGCCAAAGCCCTCTATTGACCCGTTATCATTAAACACACATCTTTCCTGAGTTTGATTTGCTTCTCTTTGAAGCGAACACAATGCTCATCCACTGCCAAGCCATTTCTGCTTATCTTTGCCTGATCATATTGTGCTTTTGAGTTTCACCAATGATGCCGAGAGCCTAGTTGCAGACATGCGCTGTCAGAACAGGAAGTTTATTCGAAGCCTTTCAAAGTAAAATATATATAACTAGTACATAGTATACCGGAAATATTTTAGGTTCCCGGGTTTATTTCCTGGCTCTACATAATAGAAATAAGTTTGTTTATTCATGTGTTTAATGGTGTGTATATATACATATAAATCTCTTTCCAGTTCAACTTGATAAGGTTAAAAAAATGCAAGAAAATATGACAATATATAACAAAATTAAAACGACCTTTTATAAAGACACCTATTATGTGTGTTTGTGAGTATTACATTATTTATTCTTTATTATTTTGTATAAAGAATGTCCTTACCTTTGCTGTACCACTTAGATTTCCCAATGGAGGGTGTGTGACTTCAAATTAACAAAGCTTTGTGTTCTCACAGTGAATTACTGAGTACCTACAGTAGTAGGGATTCAAAATTTACCCATTTTCCTCGATGGGTCCTTGGCTAGTCCCCTACAGTTACATTTTAAACATCTAAAATATTCTTTCTGTCATGATTTATGGACATTAAGATCTAAAGGGAAGCGTTATCTCCTGGTCAGACAGTGATAGGGTGGGGTCAGAGTAAAGACATATGCAAGAGGGGGTCACTACAGTGGCTGGAAGTTGGGTTTTGACTGGGAATGACCATTTTGAATGGCTGCTACTGTAGATATATGACTAAAATAGCCCAAAACGTCTGTGTTTTTCCACCAAACTGGAGAGAACAGTAGACCCAGACCTGACAGTGAAGGTCTGCAGCTAGATCCCTCTCAATGATGTTGGGTCAACTTTTTTTCTGATCATTGAATTCAAAAATGTTTTCTGTCTTTAGATGGATTGATTAGTTTTGCTGCCCTCCTTTAGAGTTCATTGAAAATCAGAAAGTTAGAAACGTATAGTTGGAGACAGAAACTTGACTCATCATGTAATTCCTGTCTTTTCTCTTTTGAATGTACTATTTGTACATTCACTTCTATTCATGTGGTCCTTAAAATAGAAAATTTAAAATGGGTCAGAAGAGTAACCTAGGGTGATTATGAATCTAGATAAGCCTTGAAAAAGTCTGATTGTTGTAACTCTAAATCTGTATGTATGGAGGCTGCAGCCATGAAAGCTTTTCAAGAACCTCTTTACTGCTGTTAAGGATCTGCCCTCTTGGAAGTAGGTCTGACTCTTAAACAGGCTGTTTAAAAAAGTCACAACACAAGAGGCTTTTCTGTCTCTGCATGCCCAGCCTATTTAACCCGTTTCCCTTCACATGCTCTCGTCTTGTTCACATCAAAATCTCAGACAAAAGAACAACACAGCTAAGCCTGAGATGCCCAGAGGTCTGTGTTGTCTGGATGGAAATGAGTCGTCTGTTGACGAGACGCTGTGTGCAGTTTAAAGTCCTGCCCTGTTTCGTGGCAGAGTCGTCTGTAAGCACACTGTTGCGTTTGGTGCTCCTGCTCACAGAGAGGCGGATCTGTCTGAATCAGCCACCCGTGGAGAGTCACTGGGCTACAGGGAGATATTGTGTGTCCCAACAGTGTTGCCTTGTTACCAGGACACCACAGTGACTGACTTGGGAGGCACCCTGCTAATAACATGCCCAATAAAACGCACTTGTATGTGATCACCTGACTCTTCTTGGCCAATTAAAGCATGTGGCTAACTTTGTATTCATGGCCTGGATACCAAGACACATGCGTTCTGTGTTGCTCAGTGGGTCATTTACACAATGTGACAGTAGAGCCTTTTTCTTCTTCTAATGAACTCCTGGGACAAACGATAATTCTCTAAGTAATGAGACTACCTTAATGCTCAGGGTGTAATTGTATTGTAGGACTAATTAATCAGATAATTGGTTCTAATGGTGTGTTCACTGGAGGGTAACTGGGTTCTGAATGCTGTATTTAATAAGCAACATTTCTCTTTGGTTGACAGGTACATATTTGCACGACGGGACTAATTGTGACCCCACCCCCTAGCAGTCCAGTTACCACAGCAACAGTCTTCACGTTTCCTTCAGAGACGAGCTACACATCCATTGCATTGGTAGGTAGAAACCCGTGCCAGGTCAGCAGGGATAAGCTGTGACAATGAGCTCCTTTTCTTTTCTAGGTTGTTCACTATGCTCTGAAAATCTCTCACATTTTGTCACATTAATAGCTTTAGTTAGTGTCATTGGCATTTAATGTAAAGGACCAGCAGATATGCAAGAATCCAGATGGTTTTTATTATTTTCTAAACAAATAAAGGGTTTTTTGTTCATTCTTTGTAACATTGTTGCCCAAATTTAAACCTAGTGCAGCGGATTGCCCTCAGAAATAGGGATGGGAATCGAAAACCGGTTCCTGTTTAGAACCGGTTCCATGTGTTCCAATCCCATGGCAGCTCGCTTAACGGTTCTTTTAACGGTTCCAGGCAGCACCAGAGCCTAGCGCTGGGCAGCACGGTCTAAGTCACGTTTTTTACGCACATTTTGCACGCGGCATTTAGTAAGCAAGTACGGCGTGACCAGGCGTAAGTCTAGAAAAACAAAACAAAAAAAAGGCGCCCCATCGGGTAAAGTGATCGAAAGTCAAGTCGCGATAACATCCGCGGGAGAAAATACATCAAACATGCAGAAACACATACATTTTAACGAATGCCGTGTTTTTGATGCTTCCGGACAGAAGCTAAAGTTACGACCAGCATGGAAGGAAACTCTGGTGGTAAGTAGCTAGTTTTATATCAATGGCTGTGTTTAATGTGGTTCCTAATAAATCAGATGCCATTTCTGGAAATAAACCAGTTTCCTACCTCTCTTTGGGGTTATTAAACATGCTACAAAGTTTCTTCACAGTTCAGGTAGCGGATGAAAGGTGACGCTCGTTTATTTAAATCAGGGGTAGATGAGTTTTTTTCCCGAAATTGTACAGTAATGTTTTTTCATTAAAAGGATGCCTTCTCCATTAGATTTAGATGACTGTGACGAGACGGGTAGCCTGGCTGGCTCAGAGGCTGGCGGCTCCCGTTCACTGCCTTCTGATTTCACAGAGGCAGTTAGAAATAGAATGTCCCAGGCGAAGGTAGACGAATGTCACCGTGCACTTACCAAATTCATTGTTTCACAGGATCGATAAGAGAATCGATAAGGAATCGTATAGTTTCATAGAATCAATAAGAGAATCGAAATTGTGACAATCTTATCGATTCCCAAACCTACTCAGAAATTGATAACTAAAGAAAATCTGCTGTAAAGACGCTATATTCTGATTAGAGCATTGTTTTTAAATCTGCTCACACAGTGTTTAGCTGGTCCTCTGCTACAGATTCAGAGTCATCAAATTAAATCAGGTTCAACCTTGGAATCATTTAAAGTATATCTGGTTGAGAAAGGCTGGATTAGAGGCTCAGTGACCTTTTATAGCTTGCAGGTGAATTGTCTTTTTATTTTTAGATCAAAACAGCACAGTCGCACCAAAACAATGAAACACGGATGTGGCTGCGTGATGCTGTGGGGGTGCTTTTCTTGAGATTTAGATGGATCAAGCTAAATACAGTTTGGTCCTGGAAAGAACTAGAGGCTGGTGTGGACGTTCACCTTTGAGCAGAAAACTGTTAAAATGGCCAAGTCCAAGTTAAAGTTATATTCTGTTTACTATGCATCTACTGTAACAAGAAGAATGGACATAAATGTCAGTCTGTAGAAGAGGAGAGCTGTCATAACACCACTAAAGACTTTGAGCCGTAATTGCAGCAAACAGCGGTTCAACAAAGTGTTGTCTCCAGTGGCTGAACATGAACGTACGCCACGCTTCTGAAAGCTTTGGCTAAAGCTACACAAAACCATATATCTTAGTCTTCAAACATCACAATGGTGCAAAGAACATTGAAGTTTGCGGTTGGAATGCAACAGAAGATAAAAAGTTAATTGGTATGAATACTTTACGATGTGCTGTAGATGTTTGTTCATGTAAAAATCATCATAAGCATAATAGTAAAAAAAAAAAAATTGCTTTTTTTTCCTGAAGATTTTCTTTTTTTATGGACAGTCCATAAAGCCTTAAAAATGCATAAAGATTTCCTGCTGCCTTCTGAAACGTCCCGTCTTTCTGCGCGTACGCTCTGGTATGTAGAGTTATTGAATGAGCAGGAATGTGTACACAAAAGGTTGAGCTCTCCGCTTCACTTGGGAAACCTACATGATGTTTTTCTACACACGATTTCTCTAGCCTGCGGGCAACCTAATTATCTCAGCTCGGGCGTCGGCAGCGAACCGTAGAACACATCGACGCTGGCGTTTACACGTAGGACTGCGCGCATACCGCAGGGCTGCCGCTCTCCTCCCCCAGCATGTCATGGAAGCTATTACTCTGCTGCTCACTGCTGCCAGTGTTCAGTGCAGGCAGCTCCTGAGTAGAAGAACATCATTGTAGCACGCTATGAGCTTTATTTTTTAGGCTTTCAAGGTTTTTAAGCAGGTTCTTTGTTTTGTTAATTCAGTTTGGGGGGAATTGGTGTTTGTTTGCTGGGAAGAGTCTCTCTGTTATGCTTGCTGCTGGAGTTTTTTTGTCTAATCAAAGATCTTAGAGAAACAAGTGAGTCAAAATCAATCTGCTTGTGGTTGGTTGCTCACAGACTTGTTTTTATATTTCATATGGTCCCGATTAAACACTGCAGCGGATTGAAGAAGGAGCCATGTGGTCTCCTAGCAGCAAACAAACAAGCAGAACAGAACAGGAGATTCTCCGTTCCAAAGGAAACTCTATGTAAAGACGGTGTCATTGTGGGCAAACCTGAGGGAATATCCCAAATAACAGATTAGCTTTCTTTTTCTCAGCGTTGCCAATAAACAAACTGGTTTCCCTGCTTATGTAACTTTGTTATTGAGGCTCCTCTTACTCTTCGCTTTTGTGATTGTGCGTCATAATGAGGGGTGATAAGTGTCGCATTGTAGTGAGCTTGTAATAGAGCGCTGATCCCATCTGTGCTTTTTGTCTCAGGATGCTCTGCCGCCACCCCCACCTCCTCCTCCTCAGTCCCCAGCCAGCGGAGCGTCGTATTCCCTCGCTGCCGGACAGAGACCCTCCCCCAATGTAAGCGACCAAAGTGGGAGACAGAGACCTACAGTGTAAGTTTTATAAATTCTCCCACACAGAATTAAAAAGTCTGCATGAAATTGCTGAAGATTTGGTTTGGATTCCTGGTCGGGTGAAGAGGGGAGGGCTTCGCCTGCTCTCAGCTGTCAGTGTGCGGCTGCACTCTGGGATTATATGCGGTGAAAAGGTCAAAACCTGTCGCTGAAGGTTTCCAGGGTCCCTCTGGGAGACCCTTTCACTCACCCCTGACTTTTAACCCCCCCCTCACCTTTACCCTCATTACTCTCCCAAGTTAACCCACCTGATAAGTATTTGCTCTGCTCTCCTGTGGTCATCTGGATCTCCCTCTGCGTGCTTGTCAGACGGTGGGCATTAATTTCACCCCTCCACCCTGACTGAAAATATCCCAGTTCAGACCGAAAGCTATTTATATAACTTCAACTTTCCCGTTCTATCACACCACAATTAAAGCTTTTAGTGTATTATATAGAGATCAAGCTGAACATTTATTATAAAAATCAACTTTTCTTTCACTGCTCTCCAGTTATGTGCTGCTTTGTTTTGATCTGTTTGATGTAATAAAGAGAAAAGTCAGGGTTCTGATTTGGCCAAATAGGATCAAAGTGACTGCATGGCTGCTTAGCAAAGCTCTGCCACCGCCCGCCATCACAGCCCCGTTCCTGCGCTGCTGCAAAGAGACGACCTGCAGATTGTTTTTCCTTTTTCGTGCTGATTTTCCTCTGGGTCAGAGAGCGCTATTTAGGGCTGAGCCGAGGTGCAGACAGAAGTCCAGCTGGGCTGTCGGGGGAATCAAACACAGACAGACTTTTTTTTTTTTTCCTCAAGGATAGGAGATATAATCTGTGTTGTTTTTAAAGCTGTTATCCACTTGCTCTGTTATCCAGCTATGTGGCCATGTTCCCATATACTCCCCGTAAGGAGGATGAGCTGGAGCTGAGGAAAGGAGAGATGTTTTTGGTGCTGGAACGCTGTCAGGACGGCTGGTTCAAGGGCACCTCGATGCACACTGGAAAGATCGGAGTCTTCCCTGGAAACTACATGAGCCCAGTCAGCAGGTTAGTCATTGCTTCACTGGCAGCCCTTCGTCAGCATGCTGTACACTGGGATATATGAGCTCTGGGTTTTACAGCAGTGCCTCTGCACAGTTAGTCCTCCTATTATTTTTTTTTTAAAGATTATATGTTTAAAGTTGTACTTTTTAAGTCTGTCTGTAACCTGGATCTTAGACTAACCCCATAAAAACAAGAGTGGACCTTACTGAACCATAAACGCATCCCATGGTAAAGAATTCCCATAAAAAATGAGCAGCTGAGTGGTTTTGAAATTCCTCTTTAGAAATGTGTAACTAGTTTATAATAACCTGAGATCTGCAGAAAACAGACTCTGTAAGGTTTTCTATCCAGTTTGTTTTCAAGATCTGTTTCAGCCTGTTAAAAAGTCCAGGGACTCTTACAAGGTGTGATTTATTCGTTTATGTCTTTTTTTTTTTATTTTACATTTTCCTCCCTCAGAACGGCGTCTGGGAGCAACCAACCCAAAGTACCCATGAGTCTTTGCACTCAGGCTGGCAGAGGAGTCACCATCGTCAGTCCTTCCTCTGCCTCCCTGGGGGCTGTTGTTCCAGGGCCTGATTTCAACAAGCCCCCCCCTGCGTGCTCCACCGCTGCATCAGCCTGCTCCCAACCTGCGGCTGTAACATCGGCTCAGACAGCCACGGGCCAGCAGCCAAAAGTTCCCCTGCATGTCAGCTCCCAGATGACTGTGAATCAGGCGCGCAACGCTGTCAGAACAGGTAAACGGCACAACTGTTGCTCGGAGGCATAGATGGATTAATTTTTTTTTAACGTCTCATACTGTTTATGTGGTCTCTGCAGCTGCCTGTCACAGTCAGGACAGACCCACTGCAGCGGTGACGCCCATCCAGTCTGTCACTTACCTCCCACACGCTGCCATCTGCCCCCAGTCTGCAGCCAACGCTCAGGGCTGCAGCCGGGTAGGAGTCGCAATGGGCTGCGCGGCCTCTTCTCTGACCCCGCCCAACGTCAGCGCCGCGTCTCTGGACGGCGACGCTTTGAGATCCGTTCCTGTTGGGAGCAACGGCGTCCTCAATCCCTCGTCCAACGGTGCTCTCGCCTGCAGGCTGGACAAGGATGGCAAGGTTGGACTTTTCTAACCCGTGAAGATTAACTAGAAAAACAACGTTTAAGAATCCTCTCTGATTGGCCGGTTGGATGTTTTTTGTCTGAATGATTGTGTCTGTGAAGATCGAGCTCATCCACTCCTTCTGTATGAGGAGAAGTGGCGGTTGTGTTTCCTGTGTGCGTACTTCATGTTTCAGCCGATCGTCTTTGTTCATTCTGATCTGAGAAAGGCAAACTGGTTGGATACCAGTAGAGCTAAAAGCCATAGAAGTAGATTTCCCAACTTTCAGAACATTAACGGCTTTTTTCCTCTAAATAGCCGATGGCTTTCGGTAGCAGATGATAAAACCAAAAGTCTTCTGCAGCTTTGCTTTCATAGACTAAACAAGCTGCTTGATTAATGTGAAAATGATTTTATTTAGTGCAAACCTCTGTTTTTTCTGCTCTTTAACTGATGGACTGTTTTTGCAGAGGGAAAAGAAAAGTCTTCTGAAGCTGTTGTCCTCCAACAAGAAGAAGTCTCGCCCTTCACCGCCCTCCTCTCCTACCCTGGAAGCGGAGCAGGCTGCAGCTGGAGAGGTGCTGCACGGCGCTGTGGGTCCCGACACCTCCCCTCCCTCTGGTTCAGTCAGCTGCCTGGAAGCTGAGCCTGCTGGTGTTGCTTCGTCATCCTCAGTCCCAGAGTCCTCTCATCGGAGGACCGCTCCTCTCGACGGATGTGCTCCCATCGCCCCTCCTCCTCGGCAGCCCTGCTCCTCTCTCTTATCACAGCAACATGACGCACGTCCCATCATATGTGAGAGGTACCGATGTCTCTGTTCTCCTTGTCCTCTCTGTCCCCGGAACAGAAAGCGTAACTTTATATCAGGTCAGATCATTTGTCTGTGAAGCTGACGGTGCCTCTGGCTGTCCTCCCCAGGTACAGGGTGGTGGTATCGTATCCCCCGCAGAGCGAGGCTGAGCTGGAACTGAAGGAAGGAGACATTGTGTTTGTTCACAGGAAGAGGGAGGACGGCTGGTTCAAAGGCACGCTGCAGAGGAACGGCAGGACCGGCCTGTTCCCCGGCAGCTTTGTAGACAGCATCTAACAGAGACGCAGCGAGCTGAGCTCTGACCCATCGTCCCAACACTTAAAGCTGGAATCAGCCGGAGCTGAGGACAAAAAGAAATGGGCTTCATTTTGTCAGTAAAAGCACAGTGGACAGAGTTGGAAAAGACCATACTACTCATAAACCCTTTGTTTATTTCTTGTTTATTTATATATTTGTAACTACTCAGCTGTTAAATGTGTGCCTTGTACTGTTCCTCACTTTATTGTACAGGAAACAACAACAACTGGTCCTGAAACCACCCTTGTGACCTGATCCATTCACCTTTTAACTTATTTCATGTTGACTTTCCATAAAGCTACACATGAACAGATGGGATGGTTCGGGATTTTTAAAGTGGAGTTCTGTTAAAAAGTTTTGCGTTGTTACTAACTCTTAGTGTCTTCAGGCAGGATTAATCTAGATTAGTTGAGGGTAGCTGCTGGTCCGTGAGGGTCCAAAAACCAAAGTAGATTTAAAGAAACTCCAGCAGCTTTAATGAGCCCCTTTTGTCCTCATCGGGGACCTTTTAAGCTGTGGTCCCATTTGAACAGGCTGATTAGCTTCACAAACGCAAAGTGGTGTTCATGTGTGAAACAAACAACAACTGTATGCAAGACTGAAGAAGTGTTTGGATAAACTGCTGTGACCCCTTTTTAAATTGGGTTATTTTGAGACACTAGACGTCCGCTTTGGTGATGGCATCACCCAGACGACTCGTCAGCTTCAGCCTTCAGTTAACATTTCAGTTAATATACGACCATAGTTATGTAACTACCTAAAACCTGCTAATCAGAGTTTCTTATAGTCAATTTGTAAAATTGGTTCTTTTAGGTTCTGAATGAATTAGGGACATTTTTAAAACATTTAGTCTGATAGTTTAAATCGTTTAATATAGATTTGTGGTTCTAAGGCTGAGTCTATCAGAGCTTTTAGTATTTAAATTAAAAAAATAAAAGCTTTAGCTTTGATCTCAGTTCAGATAAACTATGAATGGGAAATAGCCCCTAAACATCATCCTGAATCGGAAGAATCATTTTATTTCATGATTCATACACATATACTAACATATAAGGTTCTGATGTTTTCAGATTAAATGTTTTAACCTCTAAATATGTCTGGAAAAGTGCTTTTAAAATGGGAAAATCAGCTTAAACTCTGTTTTAGCACAACTTCATTGGATGAATCCTGAACTATCCCTTTAAGTAGTGCACATGCCTTCTGTCATGTTTGACCCCATTAGTTGTACTTGCTCTGTTTGAACATTGATAAGGGTTTTTATCGTTGTCTCAAGCAATCAGCAGGGAGGGGAAGGATGAGAGATTGCTGCACAGTAAGGAAAAACGGAAACCTCCCCTGTTCTTAAAGGCATTAAACCAGAGTAGGAAGGAGATCTGCTGTATTGCACATGTGAATCCTCAAAGCTCAAATTTATGAATGCTGCACGTGACGAAATGTTTCTGTGCCATTGGGCAGATTTTTTTTTTTTCCTGAGGTGTGTTACAGGTGAAATATTTGCATGTTATGAGTAGAGGCCGTGATGATAGATGGAAGGTGAGACTGTTTGACTTCCTAATGTCTTAACTTTACACTCCACTTTGGCTTTTTGCATTCAGAAGTTTTTTTGTTAATATATTCACTGACCAGAGTAGCTGCTCTCCTGACCCCGACCCCCCCACCCCCTGGCTGTAGCCAAACCCAGACAGAGCTCTGCAGCACTGGAGCCACATTACATTTCAACAATAAAGCAGATTGTGTTTTTGTATATTTATCTCTAGAAGACGTTTCTCAGAGGCTGACGCCTGCTGCTCATAGACTTTATGACTGACTGACAGATACTCTTCCTCTGAGGTCTCTGTTATTATACACTAATAACTCATTCCTAATGCGAGTCGTGGCAATAAAAGCCACTGCTGAGCTGACTGAAGCGCAGACTGTTTGCCTAGAGCGGCATGTCGTATCACTCCACAGGATGAGACGTAGTGTGATTCTGTAGAATCTGATTGTTATGGAAATCAATCACTTTGAGCCCTTTATTTAATTTCATTTCATTGTTTTTTTATGTGTTATATGAACTTGAATAACTTTAATAGTTTTTTGTGATTTTGGGGGGGTTGTGTCATATTTTTAGCTTGTTGAGCATAAAATGAAATTAATTAGCTGGATTAGACTGACTACTACAAACGGATAACTTTTGGATTCCTTCAATATTTCTCTAAAGTAACTATCAAATTCTTAGTATCGTCTATTAAATCCCATCAAATTGTTGCCATCTTCAACTTGATGTTTTCAACAGTTTTTGGCATCTTCATTTTAATCCCATAGAATTTTTGGCATCTTTATCTAAATCCCATCAAATTCTTGGCATCTTCATTAAAAGCCCATCAAATATCAAATTTTTGGTATCTTTATCTGAATCCTATCAATTTATTTGCATCTTTCTGAATCCCATAAAATTTTTGGGATTCTTCGTCTTAATCCCATCAAATTTTTTGGCATCCTCATCTTAATCCCATCAAATTCTTGGCACCTTGGCGCCCAATAAATATCACATTTTTATATCTTCTCTGAATTCCATTAAATTTTTGTGAATTTTCATCTTAATCCCATCAAATCTTTGGCAACTTTATCTGAATCCCATAAAAATGTTTTGGATCTTAATCCCATCAAATTTTTTGGCATCCTCATCTTAATCCCATCAAATTTTTTGGCATCTTCATCTTAATCCCATCAAATTCTTGGCAACTTTAGAAGCCCAATAAATATCACATTTTTGTATCTTCTCTGAATTCCATTAAAATTTTTGTAAATCTTCATCTTAATCCCATCAAATCTTTGGCAACTTTATCTGAATCCCATAAAAATGTTTTGGATCTTAATCCCATCAAATTCTTGGCACCTTTATCTGAATCCCATAACATTTTTGGCATCTTCATTTGAAGCTCATTAAATATCAGATTTTTGGTATCTTCTCTGAATTCCATTAAATTTTCATGAATCTTCATCTTAATCCCATCAATTCTTTGGCATCTTTGTATTAATCCCATAAAAATGTTTTGGATCTTAATCCCATCAAATATTTTGGCATCCTCATTTTAATCCCATCAAATCTTTGGCATCTTTATCTGAACCCCATACCATTTTTGGCATCTTCATTTGAAGCCCATTAAATATCAGATTTTTGGTATCTTATCTTAATCCCATCAAATTTTTGGCATCTTAATCCCATGATATTCTTGGCTTCTTTATCTGAATCCCATAACATTTCAGCATCTTCATCCCATCAACGTTTTGGTATCTTAATCTGAATTCCTTAAAATGTTGGTATTTTCATCAGAAGCCCATCTAGAACTAAACTATTTCCATATTTGGCTTTTAAAATCAGGACCCAGCATTTCAAGCACATGTTTTCATATTTTTTGTTGTATTTTTTTGCTTTGGTTGTTTATTGAAGGGGACCATTGTGTGACTGACTGCTGGAATATGTTGTAATTTGTTAGAAATGTGGAGAACCATGGTACATGTCACTGTTTTGGTCTTTGTTTTTTTTCTGTCACTTTTGAATAAAATGAATCTGATGTCTTCATGATCTCTCGTCCCCATTTCACTAGTTAGCCTTTAATTTTACCCAAAAGGCACCGATGCACAAACCTGTACTGACATATGCACTGTCACAGCATTTCTAATTCTACCAACGTTTGTCTTTTTCATGCATATGCTGCACAGTTTCTAAACATGAAGTGCTTCTTGAAATGACTGTAAGTCTATTTATTCCTTTCTGAGCATCAGCAGACGTTTGCTTCATCACGTCTTTATGCCAAGGTGACTTACTTGATCTTTTCTGTCTCTTAATTAGTCTGTTTATGCCTAAAACTAGTAAAACTGAGCTCCACTTATTCATCACATGTCTGTTATGTGAAAGAAATATTCTGAAGCATAAGAGGGAATTGAATATTTTGTAAAAACAAAATTCTATAACAATAAAGGCAAAAGTTTCTGTATTTTACTGAGGTTTTGTATTTTTTTTAATAGTACTGTTTTTTCATGTGACGTTGGTTTAAGAGTAAAAAAGGATCAATCTTGAAATAAAAAGGAGCATCTAGTATATTTCATGTTTATGGTAAAGATGAACAAAAAGCATAGAAATCTAGAAAAGAATAAGATATTTTAGTGGGGACTGAGATGACCTGATGGACCATTTCTGGATTTAAGGTTTGAATCATCATCCAGCTAAGATTCACAAGATGACACATTTTCAGATTTCTGGCATAGTCTACCTGATTATTTAAAATGCTCTGATCCATGATGCCATGCATTATAACAAGCTCAGGGACACTGGAAGAGAAACAGGCCCACAGCATCACAGATCCTGAACCGTACATAACAGTGAGCACAAAGTGCATTTCTACACATTTATCCCTTGCTGCACACCGACTCCATCTGGGTTATTTTTTACTGCATCAGAAACAGAAATGATTTATTTTGCCCAAGGAGGTAGGAGCAGAAATGACTGTGGACAGAATATTTCATATTCTGTCGGCAGAAGTTTAGATGAATCATTTTTTTGCCGATATTTCCAGAGTTTTGGTTTCAGTTTATTTTTATTTGGATAATCCCAACTGTCAACTGCAGTCTTTAAAGCCCTTTACATGACAAACCAATTTTATTTCTAGCTCTGAAGAAACTATTAAATCATTTAGACAGATTTAGGAGAAGCACCTCTGCTTAACTTCTGTTAAATATGGATAAAGACTAAACCTAACACTTCAATGACACGTTTTCCTTCCTTTCCCATTCTAACGAGTGGCTTTGCTACTAAATCCAAATCCTGTGAGACGTACTCTGATTTAGGTTTGTATTTTTCTGACATTTGGATCATGAGGTTATACTTCTGCAAAAAAAGAAGAATCTATTTTCATGCATTTTTGCACATCCTGCCAATAAGAACGGAGGCAGGTTAGAGTTTTGCATCCATCTCATATTCATGTCTTTATAAATCCTAATCTGTAGAGATTCACACCTACAAACAGCAGCAGTGTTTTCCTCAGACATTACAGTTTGGGTGAGCTGCCGCACATGTGGTCATTGTTTCCATGACTAGCCTGTGAGACAGAGGTGAGCCCCCCCCGGTGTGTTCGGCTGGGAAACACTGAAAGGAGCTGACATGCTCCCACAGGGGTCATCGTGTTGCACACAGTCCACTGGGTTACCATGGCAATAAGTTATACTGACAAGACTGCAGAAATAAGAACAAGTGCATATGTTTTCATTAGATCCTGACTCTATGACATATATTTCCATAAGTTTGTATCCTGTTTGCTTTGCCAGATTCATGCAGGAGTATTTGCTGTAAGAGCTCTCCATCTGATAGTTCTTAAGATTTGGCAAAGGGGAGAGCAGAAAGCAAAACATTTCCTCTTGGAGCTTCCCGGTCTCCCAGAAAACATTTTCAGAAAATCAATGAAAACTTCTTTTGTAAGAATGTTTACTTGAGAAAAGCAAACAGCTCTGATGGCAAGGTTCATTAGATCCCAAAGGTGTGACAGAGGGGAGCGATGTGTTCAGGTGACCTGAATAAAAATCCAATCCGCCTCCGCTGCTGGGCTACAGTCAGGAACGCTGTGTTCAGGAATAGACACACTTAAAGCACATGTTGTTTGTTGAATTCTGCTGCAGTGAGCATTGACTTCATGGCGCTCAGGGTCATAGGTGTGCAAGCTGTGAATGTTATTTAACCTCAGCAAATAAATCCTGAAGACAGTCGGTGTGATGTCCAGGCGAGAGCAAGGCCACCCATTCTTTAGTCATTATTCATTTTTGTGCATCAGAGGCCATGGTGGTTTTTCCATGTGGAGCTTTACTTTCTGCTAAACAGTTTAGGCTCAATGAGATTGTTTAGAGAGTCTAGCATGATTTATAACAGAATGATCAAAATCATTCTGTTAGTTGTTGAGCTGTCAAAGATTAACAGAACACCCCCCAGGATTTTTTACTGTATTTACCTTCATCCATTTTTTCCACTGGATCTAATCTTCACATCATGATGCTGCCTCCACCATGTCTCAAAGCGGTGATGCTGTGTTCCAGGATAAGCATATAGAGCATTTTATCTGGCAGCTGAACAATATTTTATCCCAGCCTGGGACCTTCCTCCACATGTTTCCTGGGTTTTCTTCATGACTTGTGGGAAAACTGCAAACAGGTATTCAGTTAACAAATTCTCCCACCTGAGCTGTTGAGCTCAGCATCTCCTCCAGAGTTACCAGGGGCCTCTGAGGTGCTTCTCTGAGTAATGCTCTTCCTGTCCGGCCTGTCAGTCGTAGGGCTGACACCAAGAATCTGATTAATTCTGATTAATTGAACGTTGTAATAAACATCAACCAATTTAGCAATCAGTTGTTAACTGGAGTATAGAGACTCTAAAATGTGCCGTTAGCTGAAAGAGCAACCCACTCAGAGCCGTAATTGTGACAGAATCTTATCTGTAAATATGCTTTGTCCAAAATTATTTAACTGACATACTTTTAGCTTTAAACTCTGTAGAAAAAATCTTTTTTAAGGCAACTTTTGCTATCTCATTATTAATCGAAGAATTTTAATTTTGTGAGTGATAGTGGCGTTGGATGCAGGAGTTTGCCCTGCAACCGAAGGGTTGTCGGTTCAACTGCTGGCTTTCGGTGTCATTGTATCCTTGTGTGTGACACTTCACCTGCATTGCCTTCTGATGGTGGTTGGAGGGACTGGTGGCGCCGATGTACAGCAGCCTCGCTTCTGTCAGTGAGCCCCAGGGCAGCTGTGGTTACAATGTAGCTTACCGCCATCAGTGTGTGTGTGAATGGGTGAATGACTGGATGTAGTGTAAAACGCTTTGGTCAAGTCTCCTGACATGAAATTAATTTTCAATTCAATTCAGTTTATTTCTATAGCGCCGATTCACAACACAACACATCTCAAG